ATTTAACAGAAAACTGACAGAAGCTAGAGGTGAACATCAAATATTTGGCAAATAAGTAGAATTTAGTAAAAATTAGTAATTTGTGCAATAGTGCAAAAAATATCAAGTCGCACATATTGGTAAATGAATTAAAAATTCAAGGCGATATTTTTAAATCACATATAGCAAATTGACCTGCCCTGTAGCGACAGTAAGTTTAATAATCGAAACAGAATTTAAAATCTCCATTTCGCGTAATTGTACATTTTTTTTTTGACAATATTATTCGCACAATGTATTTATGAACGATATGGGTAATAAAATAAGCACTTGAAAGTAGATTTTCGCGGTAATTACATCAAACGTGATTAGTTGGGTTGAGGTTCGCTCCTCACTTTTGACATCACTCGATAGATGGCACCACAATTTTTTATATGTCATGACATATAAGTAAATCGAATTACCAATATCACAGAGTTGATATTAAAAATTAAATTGTGCGTTCCAAAGTTACGAGTTTGAAAATAGAGAATTGAATTTTTTATTTCAACTTGAAATTGAAAATTATTACAAAGCGTGAAGGTGATATTAAAGATTATTTAATAATATCAAATCGATAATTTTTGAACATTAAAATTTTCAACACGTTATTCCTAAATCGTGATATAATGAATAAGACTGACGATTTGAAATTGTTAAATATGCCATTTCAATAACGGTTTTTGAAATTTCGCACAAAAACCGTTATTTGAAATTGTAAAAGTGGAAATTATTCCGAGTTGTTATTGGAAGATATGCAATTATTAATTTCAACTAGGCAATTGTTGTTAACACAAAGTAAATTTCTATAAATTTTAGTACCATTGCGTCAATTATAGGTAGTTAATTTTTTTAGTCCGGGTGTTCATTTATTAAAAGATACAACGGCGTTCCATAGATCGTTATGTTCAGTCATTGAATAAAAAATTATTTTTATTCAATGACTGAACATAACATATCTGCTGCATATAGCCATTGAATATTTTTTATAAGTCAAAAGAAAACATCGCGAATGTATCAAGCTACTGGAAATAAAATCACGGAAAACCGCGACGCGACCCTGAATTTTATTTACCCAAAGCACAGATAGATATAATTCTGTGCCCAGAGTACCTATAGATTTTTCCTAAGTTTAGGGGCTACGTTTACAAATAGCAATGTTACATTTTTATTGTAATACGGTCAACAACCAGAAATGTGTGCGCACTTTAATTTTTACCAACAATACTGTCTTATCTCAATTTTTTACGTTGCAAATAGGAAGTCAGTTTGTTTGTATTATAACTAATTCAAGATAACCTCTCTTGCATAATTTGAACAAAGTTCGATGCACCGCCAAGCGGCGTGAACAATTGAAGTTTAGGCTTGGATAATTTCCACTGTTTTATAAAGTATCTACGAATTTCACTCCATGATTTATGGCAACGGTAGAAATTGAGTCTAGATATATATAGAACCTTCCACGTCGGTTTACCCATTAGCATTACCAACCCTTTATCTATCAATGCCGAGTGTGTACCTATCTATCTATCTCTGGCAGCTTTTTATCAATGCAAATAAATCCCAAGTTTGGTACGATCGATTGGAAGTTTAAACGTACTCGTAGAGTACATAAATGCCATTGTCACTGTGTTTACTTTCTCTCCATTGTTCGATGAAACTAATTTTAAATTCTTGATAGTTTATGAGCTTTAGAAACCAGTTTTGTAGACATTATATTGGATGTAATGTAATTACCTAGTGGAATTTGAAACTAATCAAATTCGCAACTTTCCATCACATGCATGTTTTTAAAATTTACAAGATTGCCAAAAGGGTTATGGATATTATTCTTTTGGCGTTGTCAGAGACCAACTTCTTTCATGTTTAAACGGTCTCTCTCCCATAGATTACGTCTGTTGTACATGAAATACCGCGTTGCTTATGAGAAACAGAATTTCAATCTGCATAGTAATAATAACATTAATTTCATTGAATGGATTGCATCAAATCCATATGCGTATCGATCGTTAAAGGTTCGCATTTCAAGGCATTGTCTTGCGTGCCAAACAATCACTACTTTAATACCTACTCAATGCCCAACGATATTAAATGGTCACTATCGCCAAATAATGAGCAATTAGACAATTATCAGCTCTTACTTGCTGGCTGTATTTGGACACATTCTAGTTCTAGTTCATCGAGACAAGACATTGACACTTTTTGAAATGTGTGTATTGAGATGTTGAGCACCATTGCTCTTAAATGCTGACCAACTTATTTTAATCCCGAAAGGATTGATGTGCCTAGTTTTCATACTGTCTCATACACTTGTCAATATTACAAGCTCTATATAAGGTCTACAAAGAACACGTCACCTAAACTGTAAACTGTTCCAATACTGTGAGGAGTCCTTTACAAAAATAAACATTTAAATTTTGTATAAATATAACTTAGAAACCTATTTTCCAAACCAAATCACACAACTTGCACACCCCCATGCACTCGAATGACAACTTTTTTACCACTCACAGCTTTTTAACGAATGGGGAATGTAACACAAAATAATTGGTGAAATAGTAGAATAATGTATGAATCAGGTTTACGACAATAAATAAGAGCATAGGTAACAAGTGTTTCCGTATATTTTCAATTAATAATTAATACTAATAATAATAACAATTAATAATAAGGGTGGCCATTATGTAGGTATAGAATATAATATACCTATATCTCGGATAATATCGAATGAATTGTTCTATATGAAAGTTGTTAACATTTTCCCACGTTAAGGCATCATTCATTTGTTTTTATTTCAGAAAACAAATGAGTAACGAAAAACAAGTGAATTTTTTTTAATGGGAATGCACCTTTTCATTAGGCTCATTTGAATGAGGTTTTTTTTCTCTTTTCGATGATGTAACACGTTAGTACCCTAATACAAGAAAATTGTGCAAAACTTATTATAATCACATTAATAACATTAATCTAGATATCTTACATCAAAATAAAACAAGTGAACGTGCGTAGGGTACGTTTAATTAAATGAGCAATAAAATGGTAACAAACGTACCCATTCATTTGTTTTATTTTGATGTAGCATATCTAGATTAATGTTATTAACGTGGTTAAAAGTTTTTTTTTTTTAAAATTTGCTTGTATTAGGGTACTAACATGTTACATCATCGAAACGAGAAAAAAATTTCAATCAAATGAGCCTAATGCTAGGCCTAATGAATAGATCAACTGCCATTTAAAAAAAAATCAAATACTTATCGTTACTCATTTGTTTTCTGAAATAAAAGTACAAACAAAAGTAGTTTGATATACGACCTCTCTAACAGTGTAACAGGTAAGTGTGAATAAAATTGAATGATTAATGAGACGTTAACAAATACTGCTCCAATCAAGCAGGGCTGCAAAACGTTTCGCTTAAGTATGCTCCAAACGTATGTATCTTCCATCTTCTGTCGTATACCGTGTGATCCAAAATGACTGCGGATAGTTTGAATTTTGCGCAAACTAAACATTTACATGTTGGTAACATATCAAATGTCATTTATTTACAATCGGTGGTTGATTATTTTATGGATCAACAATAATCACAATTGTGTCTTCTAAACGCACGCGTCTTTAAGGCCCCTTTGCGTGAAGTCTATGTGGCCAGTGTTATCTCCTTATTGTTAAAACAGGTAGGGCTATCATGGGCTTGATCCCGTTAGGGCCTTTAAGGAAAAAAAAAAAGAAAAATGAATACATCAAAAGCCACCCCATTTAAAGCCTAAAGAGTAAGGTTATATGATATATGTTCAATTTAATTACATTATTAAAATGGTTATTGTTTCATAACAATAAAGTGTAGCAATGTTATAGTGAAAACTGTTATAATGACTGTTTAACTTGTATGTTTAAGTATACCTAGGTACTTCTTAGAATTCTTATTATCATCCCTTTCCAATTTCCATTGTATTTTTGTCGTGTTGTTTTTGACGAATACTAATAATAATAATTTTGCGGCTTTCTTGCACCTATTAGTTCTTCTCTGATGCATATTTCTAACGCCAATCTGATAATATTATATTAATTTTTGTTCTCTCAACAAACGATAAAGGTATGGCCATACACTTACACTGTATCTGTTTTTTGTTTTTTTTACTGTATGACATGTAATTTATATTATTCATTTTATTGATAAAAAACAGGGTTTAACCAAAGTTAATACTACACTATCCATTGGTTTAACCTATACAGCAGTTTCTTTGGGAAAACAATGAAACGCATTGTATCTATACAAGCGAAGTAGGTCTAAATCACGACAAAATAAAATCCGGATTTGATCATAGTCTGAATGCTCAAAGTTTTTGTTAATTTCGCAGTAACAAAACGAACTTCTTCAATGGGCATATTGCAAAAACGTAGATGTTGCAGTATTTCTTTCTTAGTAATCATTCTGGACGAGTGACTGCGTAGGAGAAGGGTGATTCGCTCTTTCCGAAAAGACTTTCATTATAATAGTATGCTTTTTATTAACCGTTATTTAACCGTATGTAAACTATGTCTATCAATTTGTTGAACTGATTAAACATTGAGGTTATCTGAAATTTCGCAAGATTTTTAATACCGGAAATTTTACGGAAGCTTTCATGTTATGATGTTATTTAGTTTCTATTGAATTTCCTAAGTTTATACTCGCCCCCACATTGAAGAGGCACTTTTCATGCAAAAAGGTTATTGTTTACTTAAGGGTTTCTTTATTATGCCAATAATACCATGATATAGATGTTATAAAAGCTAATTCACTACAATTTGACGCTCCAATGTTGGTTAATGGCTTATCAGCGTCAAGTTCAATAGAAAGTACCACTAATAATTAGTCTTCAGAAGCTACACTTCCAATAATAAATTATTGTGACATGACAAAAATATTAATTTACTTTTATGTCAGTCAAATGTCACAAAATGTGACACCACGAAGTGCAGAGATCAATAAGAGAGTTGGTATGTGACGCATGCGTCCACCCCTGCGGAATCGATTTTAATGATACTTTGTCCTAATACCTACACCCTTCAATTTGCTAGACGTTTAGTGTTTAAATATTATTTTTGAGGTGGAATAGATAATATCAAGGTACGTCAGATTGAAATCATTTACTTGCATGCATTTAATTCTGCGCTCGCACAACGTATGGATTTCTTTATTAAATGTTTTAAAAAAATTTAATGCGCAATTATAATATAATAATAATCTAGTTACTGTGTACAAATGATCACTCAACATTTATGACCGAGAAAAATCACTTTTCTAATACCTACTAGAATTGACTTTAATTGCATGGGCGTTATTAGCTATAACTTTAATCATTCATGTACAAAGATCAATCTGCATCGTATTCAATTGTTTTGGCAATTATTTATTAATAATGTGTGTAAATTTGTAAATCCATAGATTATGGTTGTACAATAAATTGAGTAAATATCAAAATTAAATTATTTGGATAAAATTTAAAGATTTATTAACAAAAATACTACTCGTAGATGGAGTTACATAGAAAAAATTCAATTCTAGCTCCGGCATGAATTTTACAAAATACATTTTAAGTAATTCGTTAGGTAAATATGAACCTTCATAAGTAAACCTGGTGTAGCGCAAGGTAAAGTTCTTTATCTGGTATTATTTTCGCTATTTAGGGAACTATATTTTTTTATCAATTTTTATTAGCAAAACATCTCTATATACCAATGTTAATACACTACCTAGTAACAATTGTTAATATCTGATTCAAAAGGCTTTATCAGTTTAGAGACCAAATTCATTCGTAGCTGTATTATATTGTATATTTTAGGAATAGGGGGATAGGGGAATGGCTTGTTTTGGTGAATGTTGGGATGCAGGGCCCCCTCCCGACAGTATACTATTTATTCCTCCTCCACCCGCGCCGTCTTTTCTTCAGCCGGCACTTCCAGATTTGCTACTGAACACGACACCGTGCTCTTCTACGCAAGTTTGCGAGGCTTGGGTCAATCACGTGCAAGGAAATGTTGGAACAGGAGTGGGAGGAGAATACGTCGAGTTACCACGAAAAGGTGAGATTCTGTATTATTATTATTACTGCTATGTTTTTGAACCAAAATATACAGGGTCATTCTTGACGAGCGTCAGTTAGAAAGATATGGAAAACCTTTGAAAATTAAGCTGAACTGATAAGTCCCTTAAAGGTGTTGGCACATGATGAATTGAACTAAAATATTTTCAAAATGGCGCCACTTCCGGAAATACCGGAAGTAGCCATCAACTTTGTTATTTTAAATAGGGACCCCCTATTTTTTCTACATTTTCGGATTCTACGTCGAATTTGGAGTACAACGATACCACATAGTTAACTCTTTGTTCCAAGGGCTTCGCCGATATTCCAAGTTTTTGTGTCAAAAATTGAATTTGCAGGGGTAACTTTAAAAATTTATTATTCGAAAACGGTGAGAGATATTGCAAAACAGTTTTCAATGCTTTATTAAGGAAAGATCAAATTTTCTTATGGTATGCGTAACCGTCTAAAAAAGTGAGACTACGTCACTTTTTCAAAGCTCTCAACTTTTAAACTTTTAAACATCCGTAACTCCATTTTTTCAAATGGCACCCCCCATTTTGTTCTTCACCCTTGTTTTCCTTTTTCCCAGACCTTTAATTTGATGCAAAATTTCAAAAGCTGCTTCAAACGGTTTCCGAGATATTCCATGTTTTAGTTACTTCTTGTGGAAAGTTGATAAAAAAATTAAATCGTTGATGTTATTCTTTTGTTTTTATTATGATAATGTTTAAACGTCAAATTTTCGCAAAAAACGACTACTAGCCACATTAGATTCTCAAACGGGGGTGGCATACCTCTTGGGGGGGGGGGGGGGGGGGCTAACATAGAACTAGCACATCTCAAATCTTTTAGTGAACGTTGTTTGTCTTAGATGATGAGACATTAGGTACTATAATTGTCACTTAAGGATCGTCTTTTATTTTTGAGACATGACGTAAGCGATAATGATTATATTTAATTTTTTTCAAAAACGTTTACTGAAACATTTATTCTATGATAGTTCCAGACTTTACACTAGCATTGCACCAATATTTGACATTTTGAAAAACATAATATTGTAGGTATGGATCCGGAATAGTTTGTTAAAATTATTTTTGATATCTTTGAAAATAAATAAACACCAGCGCATTCTCGAAAATATAATATATAAGTAAATGATAATATAAATATGAATATTAATAATGATTTCCATAATTTCGCCATTTGTACAGCCGCAAGAAACTTTGAAAGGGAAAATTATTCAGCATAAAATTCTGCATAACTTTGTCTATTTAAGTGACTTTCGTTTACGAGTCCCCATAGTGAAAATGAAAAAAACTCATACTGTATTACATGTAATTCTTTTTAAATAAATTAATAAATTTTTTGTAGTAAAGCAGTTTGTATTTTTTAATCGTGATTAAACGGACGGACGGACGGACACCGCAAAATTATAAACTCGCTAGGAGCTCGTTAATAATCCTCAGTTATACCAACCCTAAATTTTTTTGTTTTGTGGGAAGTTCTCGGTTCTAATGGATCACCTTCACAACTGCTAACAATAGAAAAAAATAATACAAAATTGATTAATATCGTTTACAAGATTAATTAAACTTGTTTTAGATTTGGAAACTGCGTGGTCTGTCTCCAACATTGATGACACATGGCTGTTAGTCCTTGTTGCGTCTTCGATCGGAGTCCTGTTACTAGGTGCACTGTTGGCCATGTTTTTATTAAAATGCAGAGAGTAAGTATTACTTGCAGTAAAACTTTATTCACTGAGCGGGGCGAGTGCACTCCTAAATCTACCTAGGCATTTATTATATTTTTATCAATGCCATCATAAAACAAAGTAACAACATCTAGCAAAGCAAACGGAAAATTAAGAGCTTGCATATAAGGGCAATTCCGCTTAAAATCGTATCACTGAGTTGTCGGAAAAATTGGATTTTACCATTTTGTTTCAAAGGTCTCGAAGAACTTTCGTTTTTAATTGCCCCTCTGATATTTTCAGAATAGCATACATTGGACTTCATTGTAATGAACTGATAAATAACCTCCTATGAGAATACATCTGTGTCCATGAAAATTAACTGTCAGATATAAGTTTAACTTAAACATGAAAAATCAGTCATATTGTTACGAATGTTTTTCTCTGAGACGTATACTAGTGTCTAAAATTGTGACCACATTAGGCATTGCGATAATAGTGTGCAAACTTATTAGCGCAAATTAATTGTTTACACGAAATGGACGAATGAACGAATTTGAAATTTCTTGGTACTTATATACTTTTCAATTGGAACAAAAAAAATTTTATTTTGTCATATGTGATATATGAAGCAGTCTATTATGCCCAAGGGCATAATGAGAGGGCATAATGGATTGTCATCTCATTATGCCCTCAAACGGCCTGTCAAATTGATTGACGGAGTTATATTATGTAATAAAAAAGATGCAACTTGATTCGTATGAAGCACTTTAATGCAAACAATAATCATGACATTTGTATATTGGAAATGCATTCTTTGGAACGATGAAAAATAAAATGTTGTATGCACCTCAGGCATTACTCAATATTTAACCCTCGGGCGACTTACAATCCCTCGGGCCGGAGGCCCTCGGGCTCTGTCGCCCTCGGCATAAATATCACCTTAATGCCCTTGATGCATAAATAACTATAATGAAACATTGAAACTCAAAAAATTACATAAAATGTAATATGTTGCAGATTGAATATTTTTGGTAATAACGAATGCTCAATGGTGCACACCAGAGATCACCATCGTCAAATCAAAAATCACGAACCAAGAGAATGTACCTCAATTAACAGCATGAACACAAATAAGCTCGTTCACCCGTCGGAAGCGGTTCTATACACCGGACCCTCTAACGTGCAAGACAATCGCATGGTGTGGGCGGCGCTAACTCCAAGAGGAACTCAACATTTCATATCAGAAAACTACCCACGAAATTTAATAGATTACGAAGACCACTACGAAACAGTCGATAATTTAAATATACAACCGGTGGCGACCGTCACCTACACTACGTGCCAAAAAGGTTTGGAATTGAAATTAGCTAGAGAAAATAAAGGTATTGATAATTCTGGGTTCGTAGATTATGACTATGAAGACCCAACTCCGTTAATTGAGAGTTATCAGATGAACGATATCGAGAATAGAGACGATTCGCCATATTACTCGAGCTTTGGCAACACAGACATGCGATGCGCCAGTCTTGGAAGTTCATACCGAAGAGGCATCGCGCTCAATTTACCATTAAGGCCACGCGTATCATCCCCTACGCGCATCGAACATCCAAATCTACCACCGCTGAATCTCTATCCCCATAAGGGAGCAAATGCGACTATCACATTGAAAAGAAACAACTTGACATATAGAAGAGCGGACAGTATTCCTTATCGGAGTAATGACGCCATTTTGCCAAAATACGGCTGTTAAAGTACCTATAAAGTACGATTAAAATGCGACATCATCAATTTTTCTTCTCTATCCCCGTCTATTCCCATAATCACTTCACCAATGTCTTGAAAATTCAAGAACTCTTTTAGTGGAGAAAATGTATTTATGTGCAACATACAGTCTAAAGAACACAAATTTTTATAATGTGTAAATGCCTTGATCGTTATTTTGCTGTTTATTGTATGTTATCAGATGAACGATATCGAGAATAGAGACGATTCGCCATATTACTCGAGCTTTGGCAACACAGACATGCGATGCGCCAGTCTTGGAAGTTCATACCGAAGAGGCATCGCGCTCAATTTACCATTAAGGCCACGCGTATCATCCCCTACGCGCATCGAACATCCAAATCTACCACCGCTGAATCTCTATCCCCATAAGGGAGCAAATGCGACTATCACATTGAAAAGAAACAACTTGACATATAGAAGAGCGGACAGTATTCCTTATCGGAGTAATGACGCCATTTTGCCAAAATACGGCTGTTAAAGTACCTATAAAGTACGATTAAAATGCGACATCATCAATTTTTCTTCTCTATCCCCGTCTATTCCCATAATCACTTCACCAATGTCTTGAAAATTCAAGAACTCTTTTAGTGGAGAAAATGTATTTATGTGCAACATACAGTCTAAAGAACACAAATTTTTATAATGTGTAAATGCCTTGATCGTTATTTTGCTGTTTATTGTATGTTAATTGATGTTCCTTCAAATTTGTTGTATCTAGTACTAATTAATGAATGTAACGCACTATTTAATAATAATAATAAATAATAATGAATTGTCTTTTATTGGGCTAACAGGTTGTTGCACGCAAAGCATTACCTAAAAGTAATCAACCTCCCATTAATAACTGAAATCTGAAAATTTGCGTAACACAGTTTTTCATGATCTATCAAAAGAAAATATTATCATGATCGTTTCACTTCCAGTTTTACCGGATGTGGATAGCGACTTTCTTATTTTAAGTAAAACACCCTGTATTTTAGCTATTGCATTTTCGAAATCTACATGAAAATCTACGTCGTTTGATACCGCATTACCCTATACCCAGCATCAAAGGTTTTCAAGTTATTCTTCAAAACGACATTTGAGTGCTTTTCTTTTTCGTTGACCTGAATTTCAAAAAGTCTTCGAAAATCAACAATGCTGGTTTGATGCTACATGAGCATGATTTCAATGTTGATCGCCCTTCTACAGAGTGTTTTAAAACTAATGGTCAATGGTCAGAAAGAAGGGCGGTAGTTGGTAAAAAACGGTTCCTTTCGTTGAGACATTTAATTAGAATGCCATTAAAGATAAAATTCATTTCTACATCCCCCCCCCCCCCCCCCAAGTCCCGTCGTCTATTGATCTCGAAAAAGAGCCGCGCGAGTAAATTATACATTTATACTGTGTGCAAACTAATTTATTTCCATGAGACCTTTTATTAAAATATCATGCTACGCGGGCGGCCCGGGTTCCGTTTCCCGGTCGATGCAGAATTTTAATTTTTTATTATTTAGCATTTCTACATTTCGCTGATCGTTGCTGTAGGATGTCACACAGGTCCGTAGAACCTGGTATTTCTAGTAATTATATACTGACTTCCATAAAAATCAAAACACATAGAAGTTCAATGGGCGTATTCACCAGGCGAAGCGCTTCATGAGCGCTACCTATAAAGGCGGGAACGGGAATACTCTTGCAAGATTTCTTGCACGAGTTTCTGTTTGATAGCGCTGGCCAGGTGTAAATACCACCGTACGTTCCAATTCCTGTGAACTGTATGTACACCTCGACAGTGCTATCAGACAGCAACTCGCGCGAGAAACCTTGCTAGAGTATTCCTGCCTTTAGGTAGACAGTTTCTAATTTGCTCTAGCGGAAAGAGTGAAAGACAAAAGAAAAGTGAAACAAATGTGAAGTGTGGCATTTGTTGCTGCAAGTGGAAAAATGTTATCGGCGGAACAGAATGGATCAAATGTGTTCATCTCTATGAAATGAATTATTAATTGTACAAACGAAGCATAGACTTCGATCTTTTTTTATTGTTCTTCTAAAAGTAAAGGCGACTCTTAGACTCCACTCATGCGATGCTCCAGGTTCAGGCATTTTCACACTATGATCACGGATTTTTCCTAATGACCGTGCCGTCTAATTGACACCTATTGTTAACTGGTATGTCACATACCAATTAAGATTAGGTGTCAATTAGACTAACGACTTTAGAAATTTTACTCCCCTTAATTAAGTAAGTGCAATTAACAATAACTACATAAATGTGTTGCAGTAAACCGCATCCGATTAAGTCTTGAGGGATCTCAAAAAAGCGTTCTTAATTAATTTAAGTTTCAAGACTACTTACAGATTTTTAGGACGTCGGCAGGCCGCACAATTTTAATTAAAATTTTATTTAATTTTTTGACAGTATTAGCCCCATACGCCGGTCGACTTTGACCAGGGAGAAGGTTGCAGCATCAACTTCAGAAGAAGTTTTTTTCAATAATGGCAATCAGTCAGTTATGATCGCTACCTAAAGGCGAGAATACCTTAGCAAGATTTTTGGCGCAAGTTGCTGTCTGATAGCACTTTCAAAATGGTACACTCAGACTCAGACAGTGAAAGTATTTAGACTGTCTGCAAGCTGCAACGGTGTATGGATATTATCTCCGAAGCAGTGGATATTGAACTATTTATAGAAAATGGGAACAACATAAGTGCCTTTATAATATGTCAGATAGTGATTATAAAGACAACAACAAAAAGAATTCGGCTTGGGTATAAATAGCAAAGCCATTGAAATTAGTAGATGGTAAGTTAGCAATAATTCCTCATCAGAGGAAGAACTGTGGTTGTCATTCATTCATTATGTTTACTAAGCAGCGGCGACCCCTTTAGCATTGTGATTTGTGACTTTGAAATGCGTTAAAGGGGTCGCCACTCTGAATGCGGTCTACCCGCTGCGGGCAATAATAAATAATAATAAACATGATCAGTGACAACCACAGTTCTTCCTCTGACGAGGAATTGTGCTGCTAGTAACTACTAGTGATATTGAACCGCGAAGGCGCTGCTGGGTACACAACATTAATAAACGACGAAGGCAGATCAGAGAATTTCATAAATTAATAATATTACTCTGTGAATTGTTTCGAAGATAATATTCATACACCGTTGCAGCTTGCAGACCGACTAAATACTTTCACTGCCTGAGTGTACCACTTTGATATCTCGTCTCTGATTGGACACCGCGCGCGTCAGACCGCCTGAAACTGTTGGCAAGGCGATCAAAATCTGTCCGCTCGGCGGATCGCGAGCGGTCAGCGGTCTACCGCTTCCTTTGTGACATGCTTTATAAGAAAAGCATAAAACAATTCAACGCGGTGGACCGCCAGCGGTTGCCCGCGCGGCAGACCGCGTTCAGTGTGGCGACTCCTTAATTGTCAAAAATCCGCCAAAGTTACATCGTGCGGTCATTCTCTTCTTATGTGTAAAGGTGTAACCATTGAAAGTTCGTACACGATTGCGATCAATGTATGGAAATACATGTTTTGCGTATCCATCCGTAAATATAACATGAGTCGAAGGTCTGATTAGAAAAAATCATCGAATTTCATTAAGATAAATTTCAGAAAATATTAAATAAGTATAGAAAGGGTGTAGCACCTAAGACCCCTCGGATCATATTCCTTTACCGAAAAAAATCTTAGAGCAAAATCATACGCAATTACCGCCGGCATGTTTCTAAAGTATTTTTGAACACCAGGGGCGTGCTGTATTCCAGTGGCATATCAAACTTATATTTTTTTAAATAGCACACCCTATATTTGATTACTGATTTGTAGAGTATTTTTTTATGTAACATGTTATACCCCTAACATTAACGATTTCGTAATTATAAACTTTTTTCGTCAAAATTGTTGGCAGTGTATGATTGTTTTTTTAATCAGCGTTGCAAAAATGTTCTAAACTCAAGCAGAACTGGTTGATATGATGTTCATTCTTGGAGACTGTTACCGGACTTGGTTATTGGCGTTACAAGAGTATCTACTCTGGGAGATCCTGGCAAAACACATCCAGATCCACGCGCTTTTCAAAAGGTGTTGGATAAATTTACAACGACTGGGAGTACTAATTTCACGCACACTAATATGACGATTGTCAACAGGTGCTCCGAGAACTTGCAATTCATTATCTTCCGCCAAAACCGGCATCCGTTTAACTCTCCTTGCTCGTTTTACACTCCGAGTAGCTGTAAATCTATATCCAACACATTTTGAAACACGCGTGGATCTTAATGTGTTCTGCCAGAATATCTTCCGGCGTACACTGCCGACACTTTACTGTTAATTGTGTGAAATGGACATTTTTTGTTTCATCATGGCAGACTTAGATTCGGAAATAGCTATTTATATAACATGAGCGCGAAGTTCAATTTCGCGCATTGAGACTGATATCAGGCAAATGCGCGCTAGCGTTATATACAATATTTTTTCTACAACTGAATCGATTATTAATTAAATTTGCTGTTTAAGTTCAACTTTGTCACGTGCGCGAAATACTTTTTTTCACTGTTGACGATTTCGCGCACGTTGTCAATAGCAATCTTACTTATTAATTAACCGTTTAAAAATCTAGTACTTTGCGTTTCGAAATTCGTCAGAAAATGACAGGTTTTTTTGACAGTTGTAGAAAAATAAGATTTTTTTACAAATTAGCGTTTGGACGTTTTCTCTGGAATTTTCTTATGGAATGAGTAGTTTTCTTTTATCAGTAGAAAATTTGTAGTTTTGCCTACCCAAAGGTATAATTTGTTTAGGAGGGTGCGATTTAAAATTTCTTTAAAATATGACCTTTGGCGAAGGTCAATCAAACATTTAATTTTTTTGAGAAAGTACCTAAGCACCTAAAAAAATTAGGTGACTGTGGAAGAGGTCTTAACCTACGCCTCAGCGCCAAAACTTAGCAGCGTGCGCGATTTAGTTTCTTTAAAAAAAACTGTCAAATTTTGACGAAAAAAGGTTATAAAAGCGAAATCGTTAAAGTTAGACATTTAAACATGTTACAGAAAAAAATAAGTATTTTTCAAGCACATTCCAAATCAGTAGATAATGAAATATGAGGAGTTCCATTTAAAACAACCCAAGTTTGATAGGCCACTGGAATACAGCACGCCCCTAGTGATCAAAAACATTTTAGAAATATGGCGACGATAATTGTGTACAATTTTTCTCTAAAACTTTTTTCGGTATCTTTTATGAAGGAATTATGATCTAAGAGAACTTAGGTGCTACACCCTGTATACCTACCTTGTATTCGAATGAGGTGTGTAGAATGTTTATAAAAATAACAATAAAAAACATTCGTTGCTTTATTACGACCGTGATACTTAGTAAGTCAACCCCTCCTGATGTTTCGTGAGCAATTTGACTGGATGTAAATGAAAAATTTACATTTTATTTCTAACATATCGTAAGTAAGTTTACGGTTTTTGTTTTTACAATGCTACAGTAGCATACGGGGAATTGTGGGGAATTTGACATGTCCAAGTGGGGAAAACGGCGCAAAGCCATTGGCAACACTGGACACGACTCACGAGCAAGTAGCAATGCTAAATGTAGTACGCACCAATATTGTGGCGGTAATTTCTTGGTAAATTGTAAATATATTTCTTAATACATTTTTCATGGGCCAAATATGCGTGTTTTAATTGAACAGGTCTCGTATTATCACAACGATTCCGTCATTTCCTTATCAATTATCTATCTGTTTGACTTTCCGGTTCGCAATTAATTATTATTATCTTTCCGTTTCAGATCACATAATGTTTGAATAAATACTTATAAATTAAGAAATTGCAAATCGCTAATTAACAACACACGTCAATAAAACATGCGACTATCAAAACTGCAAGCGTAAATAAAAATGATAAACAATTACATAACGAATTAATGTAGTTATGATCCGGGATACATTTGAATATCATGTATGTAAAAACAGCATCTCGGGAAATAATTCGTGGGGGAGCCTAGCTTTTAGACAGCGAAATTTGATGGCCGTCTGGCACACCTTCAAAGTATAGACTACCTACTGCAAGAAATCCAGGACTCTAGGACCATGGACAAAACGCAAACAATAGCACATTTTTTTTAATTCTTAAAAAATGCGCTAAAAATGAAGTTAATGATGATTAATCTTATAGAGCTCGAGAAGTGGCAATAAGAAAGTGTTTTTTTTTCTATCGGTTCAATAATCATCAGAAAAAAATAAAAACGAAATCGGCAAACTTCGGTTTTTCTGGCACATCTTCGGAAGTCATAAAAATTTTCTGGTTTTCTTTGAAATTGTGCAAATTTTGTGTAATTTGACCATCGTCGTGCCACTAGCAAGGGTTGAAAGTTGAATTATTATGCATCCCCTTTAGTAAGGGGGCATAGGGTAAGGAGATTTATACCTCGACAAGTTCAAGATATTTCATCATAAAACTCTTAATTATCGAGATAAAGTATAAAATTTGGTTAAAACATCTACATACAAATTTTAGAATTCTTAAAAATATAACCAACTCTGAAGCTCTATACTATATCGTTCTTAATAAACATTTCACAAAAAAATAGTGTATATCAAAGTTGTGTAGAATTTTATGGTCTACAATTTCTGATAACAATATTTATAAAATAGTTATAAAAAGATATGATTGAAAAACTATCAAACCAACCAAATTGCAAGGGGTAAGAAGTCGAAAACTTGGATTCTTATCCCCCAGATATTCTTCCATGACATACAAAAAAAATTGGAACTACTTCTCGTTTTGCAGGAAATGATCCATTTTCAGTCTCTATTTCCCGGACTATTCGTAAGTAACTGTAAACTGTCCATGTAACTCCAGATCGGACGAAGTGACATTTGAAGTTAACAAAAAATCAATTTGAAAAGGTTATCATGAAACTAATTATAGAACTCATCCAAGCATAATAAACAAAGAAAACGGTTGCAAATAAGGGCTGTAAATCATTATACAAGTTTCAAAAAACAAAATATATCAGTCTTATTGACAATAAATATATTCATATAAAATTACAAACAACTGATTACAATATAAAAATACCAAAAGAATCCAAAATGTAAGTAAGATACTTCACACTTAAGCACTTTTTAAAAGTCCTTAAAATATAGTTAAATAATTAACCTACACAAAAATAAATAAACGCAAAGCTTTTTGCATAAAATCATACTTTTAACGACAGAACTAGCAGAATTATAACAAAGCACACATTAAAACAAACACAAAATTAAATTCGATTCGTTACGTTTGGGCCACCTTCACACCGCTGACCAACAGCGTCTGCAAAATATGAATCAAAATTAGACGAAAATAATAAGGGATGCATGTATAGTAAGTATTTATTTTTAAAATTCTGCTTGTCACATCGTGAAAACAGATTTTTACAGATTCATACATTCAATACGTAAAACTGCGAGTACAAAAATATAATTAAATAATAAAATATCAGTAAACTGTTTTGGTTAGGTATATATTTTAGCACCATTTACATTCTAGCTTTCTCAATAATCTAAAATATAAATAAGTAGAGAGATTCTTGCTATATGGTATCAATAGTAATTGTAAATTTTACTCGATACCTGAGTAAACCTTTCCACAATTGGTCAGTTGAAATTGACTTTGATCGCGAACACCTTCGATTCAGTGAACTACACACTGACGCAGAGATTCAGTTGAACCCACTGTCAAGTGTTTCATTTTGTTCCAGTGGCCAAGCTTGACCTGGTTTATTACTTAGTTGTCACCTTTAGAAGAAGTAAGTGAAAAGCCATTATATAAGAGAGTTAAAAGTAAAATGGCGGGATTATTGGGTCACTAGATGAACACAAATCAAGGAACCAAGGTGCCTTACAAGACGCATGCGATTGACGTAGGGACCCAGAAAACTTTAGTGGCCCAGTTAACTTGACCCAGCCTTGGTTGGTTGGTTAGTATCTATTTCTTTGTCATTGTTTCAAGAACTTATATAACCTGACTATACCTATTGACACAAAAGAGTTCAATCTTAAAAAAATGTTACTTTTCGCTTATCTAGACATTTCATTTTCAAATCTTAAAGTTGACACTCTTGTTGTGATTTTAAAATAGAAATTAGGAATAAGGGTGACATATTTTAAATCAAAATGTAATACGTTTATGCAGAGTACGTTGTTTGAAATGAATTATTATAGCGGGCACATTCTGTAGTCGTTTAATTTTAATTTATTTGATTGATGGCGCATAAACTACTCAATTATGTTACTTCTATCTCACAAATTGACCCTTCGCTAGCAGTACACGATAGATATTATTGAAGTTCATTTTTTGTTATCCACAATATGAATATTTAAAATTTGTTGAATTATGAAAAGCATTCTTGAATGTTGGTCATAACAGTTAATGAAACAAGAACTTTTAATAACTTCTAATTGATTATCCTTGTACGTCGGTACAAGTGATAAAAATTTGTAATTTATATGACCAGAGTAAAAGTGAAATGTGTGTCATTTTTGATAACCTCCCTTAACGATTTGGGAATGATAGCAACATTATTTATATTTTTATTTAAACACCCACATTGTATGTTGTTATAAATTGCAACAGTCAATGCAAAATATATCGAACGAATTATACAAGATGCTTTTTTTAAAGAATTTCCAAATATCTACATACAATTAAAAACCTACGCTAAGCTCAGCGCAACTGAAACGGACAAGATGTGTAATTAAACTTACAGAGGCTAATGCCCGCGGTTTCACAAACGATGATTAATTTTAATCATTGATTAAAAATTTTCGAGCACCTAACCTACGTGGTATTCAAAGCGAGATTCAAAGGTAGTGTAACATCGTTTATGAAATCGAGTATAATTAAAAGTAAAACTTAAGTACCTAACTTCGACAAGACATCAGGGTTACAAAATATTTTTCTGAAAGATAAAACTTTTAATCATGTTTACTTATTCTAATGTTACTAATCCTATAGTGTTGAGAAGCCATTTAAAAGGGCGGTAAACGGTAATCTTATTTGTTTCGTTACTGATTCTAACACTATAGGAACACGGGCATAAGATTACGTTAAATGACAGTAAAACGTATATCACAGGTTGAATCACACATGGCAATTAACAAGTACTACCCTTACAGTAGTTACAGTATTGTATAATCGTAACGTCTTTGATTTGTACAGTTACCCGTTACATCACAATTAAGAGAGGAAGTTACAGTATCAGATGTTAAAAGCCTACCTGAACTATTAAGGTACTCGTCCTTTTTGTTGTAAGATAAAGAATCGTTCAGGATGTCACCATTTAGATGTTTGTGTTTCTGCAAAGGCTGTTCGGCTGCATCGGCTACAGTTGCGGGAGATTTTACAAACTTAATTGCAAATAAAGCAATTGACCCGATAATTGGCGGAATTCCAGCGCAGACAAAAGCTGTGACATAGGAGCCAGTTTTATCGTATAAAGCGCCAGCCAAATATGGTCCAAGTGTTAAAGGTACAGAACACAAGCCAAGAATAAAACCAATCGCTTGTGTTGCTCCATCTTGGCCGCATAATTTAAATGCGACAGGTCCAACCATTGATATAAAACAACCGTCAAATAAACCCAAACAAAGAGTTGTCGCAAGCAATAATCCAAACGTATCACATGCGGGCATTAACATTGTCATCACCCCCATCACAAACAATGCCAGTTGCTGTAAATATATCCGGTTGACTTTAGGTAAATCAGCAAGATAGCCAAAAATCAATCGGCCGAACAGTGAGGTAATGCCTATGCAAGTTACTGGTAGCTTCCCATCTGCATCTTTCGATATTACCACTTCCACAAATTTTGGCATATGAACATAAACAACAAAATATCCAAACAACGAAAATGGTATCAGCAATGCCCAAATTACGTACTTCTTATTTTTCCAAATAGACACGTTAAAGGCAGTCTTACACATCGTCTTTGCATCTTTCTTCTCGACAAAGTTCAGTGGTTTAAAAACTACTGCACAGCCCATTATTACCGCTACCAGTAGCGCCAAAATTCGAAAGGTCCATGCAATTTTTACATTTTTAAGCAACCAATCTATGAGATATGACATTACTATCGTAAACGTAGAACTTCCCGACGTAACAATTCCGTTCACAATTCCTAACCGCTTTTTAAAATAATGTCCGAGAATTGCCAATGATGGGGTATACGCCAACGCACCACCGAAACCGTACATTACACCGAACGTAAAATTTAAAGCGTCGACGTTGTAGTCACAGAACGACGACACAAGCATTCCTCCCGATGCTATCGCACCGCCCAGGAACGTCGTCGTCCGTAGACCAATACTGTCCGTTAAAACACCCGCTACTGGTGACATTACGAATACTGTACCCATACTTAACGACTCCACCAAAGCTGCAACAAACAATATTAATATTAATAAATGTACACAAATAAAATGACTACGAGTATATTACTATTAATGTTATTGAGAGTTAGTGGTTACAGAAGATGCAGATCAAACCGTAACCCCCTCTTTTAATGTACAATTTGGTGATCTGCCATCGCATAGCAATATTGAATTAAATTGTTGTGTTTGGTATTGTTTTAAACGACGACAAAATAGTGTTAAATAAATTGTTACCACGAAGGCGTTGAGGTCCAAGGAGCAAAACATTTCCTTGCGCTATATTTGGAGAGGCTAGCTACGTTATAAACAAATTTATCCATCAAAACTGTGCACCTCTACTCTGTATACTACATAAAACGCCAACCGGTAAAAAGGTTAAAGACAATTAATTCGTGCTTTTGTTGGCTGTCAAAATGCTAAATTATCAGGATAATTTTGGACATTTCCATAATACGGAATATTGCTAATCATTCCATTAAATAAACCAAATTGGAACTTAAAAAAATGTGAGGAACTTGAAGCACGGTTGTGCCGCTTTCAAATTCGTCAATCATCTTGCGAGGTTCACTTTCAACGAGTATTTTTAATGTCATTAATAAAGGGACGCACAACGTAACTACAATATCAAGATGTTTAAATGTTTGTAAATAGCTTAATAAAACAAAAACTTAAAAATTTAATATTTATCGCGAACAGCCACCCCCCAAGGTACCATATGTATCTAATTCAAAATGTCTTTACTTTCTCAGCGGAATAAAAAAAAAGAACCAAAGAAAATACTAATAATGTAAAGTAATAAATAGTAGGTACATTTTTAATCATGCATAAAATACATTTACCAATTCTACTAGATCAATAATAAATACTCCTAAGCCAGTTGATCTGTTAAATGACTGTTCTACTAAGCAGGTCTGTGAAGTTGACGGCACCCAAACCAATTTCTTTACATTTATAGGTGGAATTCATTTGTTTATCGTTTGTTTAGGTTTGTTCAGCCATTTTTTACGTTTGTTTAGGTTGGCGTCTAACGAAAATCAAAATAGGTTATGGGTGCCGCCAGCTTCACGTCAGCGGCATCCATGGTAGGATTTTGCACTTTTATTGATTGCAATCGTTTGTTTATGATTTGTTTAGCCACAGCTGAGGGTTGTTTAGATCGGTGTCTTAGGACATTGGATGAGGGTTTAGGTTGGCGTCTAACGAAAATCAATAGTATATTATATACAGGGCCGCCGATAAGGGGGGGAAGCCGGGGCATTTGCCCCGGGGCCCGGTCATATTCTGGGGGCCCGGCCAAAAGAGATTTTGAATTGATTTTTAATTGTATTTTTAACAGAAATCTGCATATGCATATCTCTATATGAGAGAGTAGAATATAAAAAAATGCACAGCAGAAGATTTAAAAAACCATACCAGTGAGCAAAATTTCCTAATTACGTCGCAGTGGCACAAGGCTCGCTAGGTAAAAAACCGTTTGAGATCGACTATGGGTCAAGATCGTTAGATCAATCTCGGCACATTAGCTCTTGAAACACAACTTGCTAGAGAAATTAATTTTGAGCGAGTGATATTCACTTTTGCTAATAAGAAAATCCGCAGAGTTAAATTGCAATTTGGTTATTTGAATTCTAACAATTCATAATAAATTATGAAAATTGCGGTGTCTGTATGAAAATTATTCAAATGTTCTCTTTTAAATCCAAGTAGTAAATATTGAAAATGTCTAGTTTAAGATAAGGGTGATGGACAACAAAAAATTTCAATTATAGGGGCCCGGTCAAAAAATATTCCCGGGGCCGGTCGAGGCTAACGGCGCGGCGGCCCTGATTATATACCGCGGGACTGAAGTAGTACTTTTAATCCCGAAGGTAAAGTTTATGACCCGACCGAAGGGAGGGCCATAATTTACCTGAGGGATTAAGACCACTACTTCAGTCGCAAGGTATATACGATATTTTTCGTACTTCCGAAACTGAAACACTAAATCTGTATGGAGTTAGAGAACGCGTTCTTTCAAAAAATCGCTGCTTAACAAGTTACCATAGGAACGTTGCGTTGGTATGACAATCCCTATGCTATGGTAACAAAAATAATTTGGAAACTGTCATTGCTAGTGTCATAATTTTGGTGGTGGGTGACAAAGGTGTATTTGATATTGATAAAAAGCAGCCAACTAGGTAAAGAATTGATACCACCGAAATCCAAAAAAGTATATGAGCAGCAGTACGATACGTTTAAGAAGTGGTGCCGCATACAAAATGTGGAACAACGTACTGAAATTGCCTCGTTAGTAATTTCATCCTTCCGGGATTTTCGTCCAAATTTAATCCCGGCGGGACAAAAAGTGACACTTCAGTACTTGTCATAACGGAGTGAAGTTGTCACTTTAGTCTCGGAAGTACGAAAAATAGGTTATGGGTGCCGCCAGCTTCACGTCAGCGGCACCCATGGTGCGAGTAATGCTTACATAGAACTATAGAAGCATATCGACAATTTGTTGATCTGCAAAGTGACATTTTGTTTTTTAAAACGGCGAAAAGTTTAGCAACTGTAGGAGCTATAAAGGCAACATATGAATACCGGGCTGAAGCACTTCGCTAAATACTCCAACCAAACATTATGCTTCCAAAACCTTTACGTTCCAATCGAACAGTCGTAGAGTACGATTGTACCATCAATATAGTACGATTAGCACGCCAATTGCTTGATCGCTATCCTTCAATTACACTAACTTTAAACTGCAGTACTGGTTGTCAGCGACCAAAAAAAATAGACTTCGTTGTGGTCGATACAGATCCTGCAACGATAGTTAACGAAGGAATCCAATCAATTGTACCTGCAATACACAAATCGTTAGGACTACAGTTCCAGCCGGGTCAAGACCGCTTACGTAACAAAAGACCACATCACGATTGTACAGGTTCAATAACTACCCACAACCACATATTAGTCGATACCGATTTTATTGGCACACAGCTGCCATTCAAAAATCAATCCAACAATAGTCCTGTGCGTTTGAATCAAATACCAAAAACAATTAAAATATCTGAGTGTACTCATCAACTGCTTGGAGTGGTAGCTTTTCGCCCGGGGCACTACACTTGCTACAATCGAAGACTTGCGAGCGATTCTTGGGACCTTCACGATGGACTAGTGAATAAAGTCCGTAAAAACATTTCTGGCATAGAAGAGATTGTCCCACATCTACTCTTTTACATTTAATAATAACTATTTCTGCAGTACTGTTATGATATTTTGCATTGAAATAAAAAATTGAGGAAAGAGGGTACATACATAAGACGTACGCTTGTTGGGATCCAATTAGGCTTCTCAATATGACCGACTTTTGCAGTTAATTGACATTTACGGTAAAATGAAATACCTACAATGGTTAGCTAGCTGTAAATCGTGTAATATAATAAAGTCAAAAGCTACAGAAGAAACGAAAATTACATTTCATAGGTGGTAACCATGTTATATTTCTTAAAATGGTTTTTTCACGATATTTAATTTCATTCATTTTGCAGGTTGTGATACAAATCCATTACCGTAGCAATAGTGTATAAAACTGTGTAAAACAACATTTTGAAATACATCTACTTTTCAGGTTTCCTTTTAGATAGATGGATTTGGTTTATAAGAAGTGATGAATCTGTCTGTAGTACTTTCAGTACACTATCCGCCAAAAAAATAAAAATTTAATGTGTGTAGGTACGCCACTGCGCGTATGAACGTCCGCCATATTGAGAAGCCTGATAGGATCCTAGCTAATAATACATAAGTTCCTTCCTTAACCCTTTAACGGTTGTGAGGAATACTTTGCTGTTCTAATTCAAAAGTCATTATGAGTCGTTATGACCGTTACTGGCGAACCTAAGACCCTCGTCCAATGTCCTAAGACACCGATCTAAACAACCCTCAGCTGTGGCTAAACAAATCATAAACAAACGATTGCAATCAATAAAAGTGCAAAATCCTACCATGGATGCCGATGACGTGAAGCTGGCGGCACCCATAACCTATTTTGATTTTCGTTAGACGCCAACATAAACAAACGTCAAAAATGGCTGAACAAACCTAAACAAACGATAAACAAACGATTCCCACTTATAAACGTAAAGAAATCGGTTTGGGTCCCGTCAACTTCACGGACCTCTACTAAGCAGTTAATAATTAATTGTAAAGATCAACATTTAAGTAACGGAGCGAAAATAAGTGGGTGTATTTCATAGGTCAACAAATTCATCACTTGTACGGAAATATACAATTTAAGATCAAACATGAAACCGACATACAACAAAAGGAATAAACTTTTTTCCCACACACTCCACTTTTATATTAATCCTTGACTTTTCATTGTAATAAAAGGAATGAAAGTGATACTTGATTGTGGTTATACGGTTATAGGTAATAATTCCGTGTGGTAATTTACAGTTTAAATATAAATAGATTAACACCTGGAATATCGATCTATGTTACACAAGTGTAATAGGATAAGTGCGAAGAAATATAAAATTATACGGAAATAACATGGCTTTTGCGATAGAAATCGATCTACCTGCACGTATTCAACAATGATATTTGCTAAGTAATGATCAAAAGTTCAGCATCCAGGTCCTAAACAACTATTTTTTCCAAAATGCCTCCTTGAGAGATATGTAGTACGCCCTCAAAAGTCGCATTTTGTAAAAAAAATTCTAAATTACTTACCGCAAGTTGGTCCAGTCCTTAACCGAGACGACGGAAAATATCGAATAATGCCTGAGGTGCATACACAATTTGATTTTTCATCGTTCCAAATAATGCATTTCCAATATATACATGTGTTATGATTATTGTTTGACCAACATTAAAATGCTTCATACGAATCAAGTAGCAACTTTTTTTATTACATAATATAACTTCATCAATATATTTGACAGGCCGTTTGAGGGCCTCTCACTATGACCTCGGGCGTCATAGACGGCTTTATATATTTCATATGACATGTATAACTGGCATATAA